TTTACATGGATCTTAAGAGTCCATATAACACGGAACTCGGTTGTGTAAACTAGGATATGAAAATTACGATATGTATCATTAATTAGTTATTAAGAGGTAATTTTTATGTTTAGTAAAATTTGTTATTAAGAGCTAATTATATGTTTAGAAAAATTTTATGAAAGGGATTTGGCAGTGGATTGCGATGATTTAGGCAGTTGATTACTAATTAAACACTTGATGGCTTACCCATTTCGAAATCACTGTATTAGCCAATTGCAATTTTATGGTACCAAGAAGTTCGAATGACTTTAATTCTAACGTGTTTATTAATTATCAACTTGGTTATGGTGAAAATTTATTATAAAATAAATTTTCTTATAAAAAAAAAGTGAAATGTCAAACTAATGATAAAAATTTTAAAAAATATTGTAAATAATTATATTATAAACAATGAAATTAGTGTTTATTTTTCTTATTTAAAAATATATTTATTTATGCAGTTTTATGTTTATGATTTTTTAATTAATTTGTGGGTTACATTGAAAAATTGTAAAAGTCAGTCTGAATTTTAGTATTCCCATAATATTCTTTATAATATTCTTTTGAGTATGAGAATGAGTTTTCGAAGAATAATGTTTGAAAATGAGCTATTACAAAATGAGTTTTTGGATGAGTTTTTCAGTTGGAGATAGCCTCAAGTGTTTTGACATCTCCGTTTACGGTACACGAGCAAATAGTAGGATCTAAAATGACGTCGGCTAGCTCAATTTGTTAGCACATCTTCGGGCATTGATTGTTACTAAACCAGCAATCTAAACTAGTAGAATTCGATCAAGTGCACATTGCTATGGGATACTGAATCCCAAGATTTCGAAAATCTGTCCTTAAATAAGAGTCGATAGAACAAAGTAGTTGATATAAAATACGAGATAAAACCTTGGATTGAACTAACTGTTTCTCCCAATACATCATATTCAGGGGTTTTACTGTTGGGACCCTCTCAGCACTTTATAGGTCAACCAGAGAACTAAATCCAATCAATTTATGATCTTCAGATTCAAACCTCAATGCACAAATCTCAAATGGAGTCCAAAAGAAAACCAGAGCAGGCTCACTAAAGGTCCACACAAATCCNCCTGTGAATAGCCACTAGAAGAAGAAGGCCCGCCTGCAAATTGGGCATTATTCTCCCTCACTTGGGCCGCCATAACCGCATTCGCATCCCAATACCAAGGCTGAGTATGAAGAGTCGAGCCCGACGAACAAGAAGGATGGACGAAAACCGAGCCCCAATCTCTCTCCCCAACCTTCACCTCTCTCATTCTCCTCCGAACCAACAAATTCCCAATATCCTCTCGTTTCAACTCCGACACGCTTCTCAACACGCACATGCTGATTAGGATCACCAAAACCGAGTCCTCTTCCGGAAGAACCTCCATTGTCTGCAACTTCCAGTTCACGAGAGCCGTGGCTTTCCCTGTCGGGTTTTCCTCCAAGCATCGAACCACGGTCACAAACTCGTTTTCTTCGTCGGTTTTCAAATCGGACTTCTTGACTTGATATTGCAGTTTTCTCCCTTGCAACAAATTTACCTGTATATAAAATAACTCAATTCATAATCAAAATCCAATTCAGCTTTAACTCAACCTCACTATCTTCAATATATTAAATAGGGAAATGCTCACATGCCCACGATGGGCACATGCCCACCGCTGATTTGACATGCACACATTGGTGATGTTAATATGTTAAAAAAATACATCACCAATGTGTGCATACCACATAAGTCGGTAGGCATATTAACATGTGCCCACCGTGGACATGTGAGCATTTCTCATATTAAATAATATCAGTGAATCAATTTTACACATCACATCAATTTTAATTCACTATTTATCAACTCACATACTTTTAACTAATCATCACTTCACATAATCTTTCTCTCATACTTCTACATAAAATTTACTCTAATTATTTTATTTTAAATATTATTTTAATATGAACTCAAAAACCCACTAACAGCTAACCATACCACATTTTTCAAAATTAACCATGTTTATTATATTTTCTTGGGTATTGAAGGGTATGTGTTTCCTCACCGTTGGCTCGGACAGTGATTTACTTTGCAGATCGAGCCTTAATCCCGAAGGGTCCCACTGTATTAACAAGTCGTGTCCCGTTGAGAAGCTCCACGAAGCTTGGTACTCGCCAGTCGGTTCTTGAGGTGTGGCGGTACCGACTACTTTCTCTGCTCTAGATGGCACATTCCACAAATACAGTAAACTAGATTAGACAAGAGAAACTATAAATGGAGATAAAATGACAGAAAGACTAAGATAGCATGTCGATGGAGCTAATTTGCTAACTTTTTCGTGTTTTTTCTATTTATGGAGAAAAATAAAATCTAGAATCGAAAATACTACTATTTTCTTCACATCGTACACGACATATATAAGGCTAAATGGGGATGTTTTCAGCAATTCATGTTATATGGCCATGCTCAAGCTGCAAATTTATGGTATATTATCATCAATATAGATGGAAATGAGTTCTACTAATGTGAAAATATGTCACAAAATTGCTTTTTTTGAGTAATAATACGAGTATCCACGCACATACGCACCAGGCAATCTACCAATCGAGCTTGAACCAGCAACGTAAGACCACGAACCCTCGCATACCTCGATAATCCGTTCCTCCCGTCTCACGGCCCTAGGTGCCTCCCCACCTCTTCTCCAAATACCTTCTCCAATTCTATCACACCAAAAAAAGTAAATAAATAAATCAGCTACTAACCGACCATTTTGACAGCTCTTTCTAAATATAAGCTAGCTTATAACTTATTTGATTAACTTATAAGCTTCATGTATTCAAATAAGCTTGCTTTGGTAGGACTGAGCTTTTTTAAAAAGCTGGAGCTTATAGCTTTTTCAAATAAGCTCATTTAAATTTTTATTTTAACTAGCTTATCACTAATTTCACCAAACACTTTAATCATATAAACAAGCTTTTCAGCCATAATTCATAAGCTAAATTCACTTAAAAAATATAAACTAGCTTATCAGCTGATTTTACCAAACACTTTTATCATATAAGCTAGTTTTCAACCATAAGTCATGCTATCAGCCATATAAGATCAAAATTATTCTCTTAAAATCTATAAAGTAATTTATCAGCTTCCGAATATTTTCACCTCATCCGCACAACGAAACAATCCCGGCCCGCATGATCGAGCACTGTCCGAGAAAGCCACCGTCCCTCCTGCGGACGGTACCGATTCATCTTGAGGATCACGTCCGACACCATTGCCCCCGAGTCATCCGTCACGCGATCGGGCACACACCTAAGCAGATATGGGCCTTGCACCGGTGGAGTTATCGAGGCAAAAGCCCATATCCACGGGCCGATCTCTTGGCCCAATGCAAGCGAGGGAGCCCGTAGCAAGTCGTTCCAGTAGAAAGTCGAGCTCTCGGAAATGGAGCTGCCGCCGCCTGAGCAGCGGGCCCCACCACCAAGGTGCCGAAGCTCGACCGCGAGTCCTTTTGTCCCGAACTCGCAGTAGAGGTGCCACGTCATCTGCCAGGTGGCGGACGCGAAGTGGGACAATGGTGACGTGTCGAGTTTCAGCTCACGGTGGGATTTTATCATCCGCAGGCGCAAAAAGGATCGGCCGAGATTCCGTTTTTTGGTTCGGTTGGTGTTTGGGGTTAGTTTCATGGATACAATGACCTGAAAATGATGTTTTTAACTTTTTAAGGTATATTTTTGGAGGAAGAAACAAAAAAAGGAAATTTTAAGAACAGTAATGAAAAAACTAGTCAACCGAACCTCGAACAAGAACCTGGGCACGAGAGACTTGTATCTTGAGTTGATGTCAGAATATGTGACGTCCCAATAAAAAGGCGGTTCGTTGGTAATAATTGGCCTCCCGATGGCTTTACCACCTGCTTTCTCGTACGGTTGATCGTAAATTCTCTCCCAAAGCTTTTTAGTCAGCTCGATTTCTTCTTCCTTCACCGTTTCGCATGGTCCGACTATTTTATCGAAATCTCCCTCAAACTCGTTAACATCTGCCGCATATACTGTCGGGTAGCTCTAAATAAGATGAATTTCGTCCAAAAATTAATATACCTTTCATATACATATTCCCAAGATTTCGAATGATGAAAGATGGATATACGAAAATATACTGTTCGATTGCTCATTCGTTCGTGGCATGTATCGATCATTCGTATTAAGTTTATGAAAATAAAAACATCACTTTGTTCATCTAATTTTTGCATAGTTTCATTACACCTAATTTCACCATATCCTTTCTAGCAGTGAATCTTGCATGGAATAAATGCATAAATTTTGTTATTTAAACAGTTTTTTTTTTTTTAATTTAAATAATATTTAAGGATTTGCTATGCTGCTACTAACCCCATTAGTACACAAATACAACTGTGATATCATATTGAAAACAATGGGACAAAAGATCATCCATTAGGTCTTTCTTTGTCACCCATAAGACACAAGCACACACACACAAAGAGAGAGAGAGAGAGAGAGAACCACACAATTTCTGGTTTGTCTTGTAATCAGCCATGTTTTATTTAAATTTCCCTCTATCATAAGCAAAAATAGGGATATCTTCAAAAGTTTTAGCAACACACCAAAAGCGAAAAAAACAAGTTACGTGTTAGTTTATTTTTGCAATTAAGAGAAAAGTAAAACAATCAGGTAGGCAACTGGGACAAAAAGGTAGATATAAATCATAAATGAATGTGAACATTAATCAAAATGCTGCATGTGCCTCTCTAATATTCAAATACCCCAACTATTACACCTTTGTCAGTATTCTAATCACAAATAGCTAAATAAAGAAATATTCTTAATCCAAATTAGGTAGAGAGGCCAAGTGGTTCAAGACACATACTATGCCATTAACCTTTATTCTCTCTTCT